CTCTGGACTTCTGTGCCCGGGGATGGTGCATGGGCATCAGGCTCACTGCCTCGACTTCTCTTTGCAGCTGGAGGGTCTTTGTTCCGGGCCTACCCAACTACGTGCACATTCCCAGTTACCGCCCTCCTGTCCGTCGGCATCGAAACCCCACCCGGCCTGAGTAAGGACCTGAAGCTGTGTTGGGCCCTTCCCACGGCTGGGCCTTGGGCTCCTGTCCCCTCCCTGTCCCCTGGATCCCAGGTGCCAGGTCCCAACCCTGTGCTTCTTCTGACAGGTGGAACGGCTATATTCCAGGATTCCCGATTCTCATCAACATTAAGGCTACCAAGTTCCTGAACTTAAATCTGCGTTACTCCTTCCTCAAGACAGCCTCCTTCTTCTTCCGCCTGGGGCCCATGTGAGTGTGTGTGAGTGAGGGGAGAGTGTGAGCTCCTGTAAGACTTTCCTGCTCCCCCTGCACCATGCCCGCCTCGGAGACAGCCCCAGAGGCTGGAATGGCCAGGAAGGCAGACGAAGCTGAAAAGCAGACCTAGAAAACCTGAGACTTTATACCCAGAGACCTAGAGATGCAAAGACCTTGCGACGTGGGGCCCAGAGACTCTGAGACTCAGAGATCCTAAGACCTAGAGACTTAAGTGGGTTGGGGTCGCCCTGTCACTTGCCCCAGCGGGCCCTTGGCAGCCTCTCTGACGGCCTTCACTTCGAATCCCATTTCCTAGGGCACTGGGGTTCAAAGTCCGCGGCCTGTTGGACTGCAAACGGTCGTGGAAGAGACTAAAGGACATTCGGAAAATATTCCCTGCCAACAGGACTGTCATCTCCGGTATGGGGCGGGGCAACCCGAACGCACACGGGGGAGCCAGGTGGTCTCCAGCGTGCAAGAGGCGACTAGTCTCCCGCCCTGTCGGGGCGGGGCAGTGGGGTTCGAGAGGGTGCGGGCCTGAGGGGGAGGGGAGGGCTCGAGAGGCAGGCGGGTGCGCCCTCTGGCGGCTTGTGGGAAAACGTCGCCCTGGGCCCCTCAGGCCGCTCAGGGCGAGGCTGGGGGCGTCCTTTTCCTCGCCGAGTCCCTTCAGTGCCCGCGGTCTTCTCCTGTCCCATAACTCTCCGTTGTGACGCCCCCGCGCCTTTCCCCCAGAGTACGTGACCGAGCACTGGGCAGAGGACAAATTCTTTGGGTACCAGTACCTCAATGGCATCAACCCAGGCCTGATCCGCCGCTGCATGCGGATCCCAGACAAGTTCCCCGTCACAGACGACATGGTGGCCCCGTTTCTGGGCGAAGAAACGTGCCTGCAAGCGGAGCTAGAGGTGAGGCCCGCTCTGGGAAGACCCCGGCCTGGCTCCCTGCCTCCCTCCCAGGCATCCCAGTCTCTCCCATTTCCCCTGGCCTCACGAGAGCCATCCACTCCCGCACCCCCCACTTCCCCGCCCCGTGCGACCCCTGCTCCCGGGGGCTGGCGCACTCTGCACCCGAGGCGTGGGTCATGGGCGCCCCGTGGTGCCGCCTACCTGCCACCCATCGCGGCTCCCCTCCAGAAGGGGAACATTTACCTGGCAGACTACCGCATCTTAGAGGGCATCTCCACCGTCGAGCTCAACGGCCGGAAGCAGCACCACTGCGCCCCCCTCTGCTTGCTGCACTTTGGCCCCGAGGGCATGATGCCCATCGCTATCCAGGTGCCTGGGCTGCGGGCAGGGCTGCCGCGTGAGCCCCAGTGTGTGTATGAATATTCCTCTGCGTGTGTGTGCACTTGTGTGAGTGTGTGGGCCTGTGTGTTATTCAGCTGCACCCCAGCATCTGTGAGGGATTCAGAACCACAGATGATCAAGTTCCTTATATAACATGCGGCTGTATTTGCGTATAACCGACGCATGTCCTCCTGTGTGCTTTAATCTCTAGATGGCTTATAGTACCGAATACAATGTAAATGCTCAGTAAATAGTTGTTATACTGTGTTGTTTAGGTAACAATGACAAGAAAAAGAGTCTGTACATGTTCAGTACAAATGCAATTATTTCCCTACAATGTTTTTCATCCTTGGTTGGTGGAATCCAGATACAGAACCCACGGACATGAAGGACTGACTGTACTTGCATGCCCCTGTGTGTGTGCACTTGTATATAAGCATGTGTGTCTGTGTGAGTGTGCTTGTCTCTGACTTCATCCAGCCACTTGGAAAAACAACCCTTGTTGTAAGCCAGGCCTCTGCTGGAAATACTGAGCTAATTAGACTGAGCCACTGCCTTGGGAGTTTGGTCTGGCAGGAGAAAGAATTGAGGTGTTTCCTTCCTAGAGGTCCCCACAGGGGTCAAGTTAGAAAAAGGCATTCCTCTGGGAGGATCAGCCAAGACTTGATGCTCCTGGCTTGTTAGTGGAACAGTTTAGGCTGGATTTTAGTGACCTCCCTCCCCACTGAGGGGCTGGGCCCCCCGTGCAGTGCACACCCTGCATACCTCAATGTGGCCGCTGTGGGGTTGAGGGGGAAGGCTTCTCCAAGGAGGCAGCGTGTGAACTGGTTCTTGGAGGATAAGTGGGAGCTGACAGGTAGAGACAGGGAGAGGGGGAAGGTAATACAGGCAGAGGGAACAGCAAGAGCAAATGTGGGGAAGGAGGAAAGGCCAGGGGACCAGTGGGACCAGAGTAGGGGGATAGAGGTTTGTTTTGTTTTGGGGGGTTTTTTGAGTTGAGGTCTCACTCTGTCACCCAGGCTGGAGTGCAGTGGCACCATAACAGCTCACTGCAACCTTGATCTCCTGGGCTCAGGCAATCCTTCTGCCTCAGCCTCTTGAGTATTTGGTTCTACAGGCGTATGCCATCACACCCAGCTAATTTTTGTATATTTTGTAGATACTAGGTCTTACTATGTTGCCCAGGTTGGTCTTGAATTCCTGGGCTCATGCAATCCTCCTGCCTCAGCCTCCTCAAGTGCTGGGGTTACAGGCATAATTTATTTTATTTTCTCAGATTCCCTTCTGCCTCCCTCCTATGGTGGAAGCCTTTCTGTGAATGGATCTAACCCCCGCTCTTTACCCACCCCAGCTCAGTCAGACCCCTGGGCCTGATTGCCCCATCTTCCTGCCCAGCGATTCTGAGTGGGACTGGCTGCTGGCCAAGACATGGGTGCGCTATGCTGAGTTCTATACCCACGAGGCCATTGCCCACTTGCTGGAGACCCATCTCATTGCTGAGGCCTTCTGCCTGGCCATGCTGAGACACCTCCCCATGTGCCACCCCCTCTACAAGGTATGGGGTGGGGGAAGGGGTATCCATGAGGCATTGCTGCCCTCAGGAAGCCACTTGGCACACTGAGCAGTCAGAGGGATTCCAGTTAGCCCTGGGAGGCATCTGGGACCCACAAAGAGGGCTTGGGGTAGAGACTTCTCAGATCGGGGCAGTCTGAGGTTACAGAAGTGGGATGCCCAGGTCCTTTGGGGGCAACTCCACCCTTCTCTCTTTATCCTCCTTGCTTTCCCCACAGCTCCTCATCCCCCACACCCGATACACCGTCCAGATCAACAGCATTGGGCGGGCCCTTCTCCTCAATGAGGGGGGGCTCTCCGCCAGGGTAAGATTTCTACCTCCAGTCCCGATAAGACACTTTTGCTTTCCTCTGGCCTTTGCAGTTAGACTAAGAGTAGAACTTCTCATTTGCTTTTGGATCTTGAGGGGGTATAGAGGGAGGGAACTGAATAAAGTGGGTTCTCTCATCTAGAAAGGTACAGAGGCAAGGTTGGGTGTGCTGGCCTGAAGTGTGAGAGTTTCTAGGGGTGGGTGGGCTTGGTCTGTGATTAGACTCCTGGAGGGCCTGAGATGGGTGCGATTCTCAGAAAAGAGGACTTGCAAGGGTGCCTGTCCAGCTCCAGGATGTGTCTCCTCCCTAACAGGGCATGTCACTGGGCCTGGAGGGCTTTGCTGAATCGATGGTACGGGCTCTGTCAGAGCTCACCTACGACAGCCTCTACCTCCCCAAAGACTTCGTGGAGCGTGGGGTCCAGGACCTGCCTGACTATTATTACCGTGATGACAGCTTGGCAGTGTGGGGTGCAATAGAGAGGTGAGGTGCACTCAGGGTAGGCACCCTGAGCTGTTGGAGGGGGTGTGGGGAACTTTTAAGGACCTGAGCATGAGTTCAGTGCCATCAGGGGCTTGGCCTTGGGGAAGGGCCTGGGGTCTGTATGTTTATTGCATACCTACTCCCTAGGCCCAATGGGCCCCTTCCTTGCTTTGGCTTCCAGCACATCTCTGTTGGCCAGAACCCTTCTGAGCTCTAAACTGCCTGTACACTTCACCTGACCCTTATTAGGGCATGCTTTGAGTGTCTTCTGACTTTGCTAAAGCGATCTCCACTTCTGCCCCCTGGTACTAGCTCACCCACAGGCCTGGGGCGCTCGGGGGCCAGCCAAGCATAGGGCATTCTGTGGGAAGTGGGAGAGGCATGGAGAGGAGGGGGAGGGGATGACCCAAACTGAGGCCCTGTCCCCTGGTCAGGTATGTGACAGAGATCATCACCTATTATTACCCGAATGACGCAGCTGTGGAGGGTGACCCAGAATTGCAGTCCTGGGTGCAGGAGATATTCAAGGAGTGCCTGCTAGGACGCGAGAGCTCAGGTACGGGCCTGGACCCTGGGCACCCAGTAGGAACCCAGGGCTGAGGGGCAGCTCATAGGCAGATCTAGGAGGGCCTTCCTGGGCTGGATCAGTACATATTCCATTGTGGGCTTAAGGAGGCTAAATCACTGCCCTAGGATTTCAACAGAGCTTTTCTCTAGCTCCTAGAGCAGTGGCGTCTCAGAGAAGGGGGAAAGAAGACATGACTGACCATTAGTCCCTGTCTGAGCTCAGGGCTATGAGTCATCTTTGCAGAGACCCTACTCCAGAAACAAATTTTTGTGGACTGAGAAGCTGGATATAGTGGCTCATGCCTGTAATCCCCGTACTTTAGGAGGCTGAGGTGGGAGAATTACTTGAATCCAGAAGTTTGAGACCAGCCTGGGCAACATAACTAGACCTTGTCTCAACAAAAAAATTTAAAAAGTAGCTGGGCATGGTGGCTGGTGCCTGTAGTCCCAGCTGCTTGGGAGTCTGAGGCAGGAGGATGGCTTGAGCCCAGAAGGTAGAGGCTGCAATAAGTTCTCCAGTTTAGGTGCACTCCAGCTTAGGTGACAGAATGAGACCCTGACTTTAAAAAAAAAAAAAAAAGGAGGTAATTCCTTTGGGTCCCCTTCCACTGTGGGAGCTTTTCTGTCCTCTCAATAAATCCTGCTTTCTAAAAAAACCAAAAACCAAACAAACATCCAGGCACAGTGGCTCATGCCTATAATCCCAGCACTTTGGGAGGCCAAGGTGAGAGGATTGCTTGAACCCCCGGGTTTGAGACCACCCTGGGCAACTTGGTGAGACCTCATTTCTACAATAAATAAAAAAATTAGCTGGGCTTGGTGGCGTGTGCCTGTAATTCCAGCTACTTGGAAGACTGAGGCGGAAGGATTCCCTGAGCCCAGGTCAAGGCCATGGTGGCCATGAGCATGCCACTGCACTCTAGCCTGGGCAATGGAGTGAGACTCCAACTCAAAAAAAAAAAAATCTGTGTGGACTGAGGAATAGGATATGAGCCCAACAGGGAAGGGCAGGCGGCTGGAGGAGCTGGGCAGGAGTTGGCAGGCTCTGGGAGAGGGGTGCAAGCATCCTGAGGCCATGCCACTTGGGCACATGCTCAACAATATTCAGTGAGCATCTACAGTGTGACACTGTGCTGATTATTGAGGAGGCAAAAAGCAGCAAGACAAGGCAAAGGTGTCTGCCTTCAGGGAGTTAACAGTCTGGGGTGAGGGGTGTTTCCTTCAAGTAAATGGGCAATTAGACTATAGCAGGACTGTTGGTGTTTGCAGGGAAGCTTGGGAAGGGGGTTATAGGAACCCAGGGAAGGTGCAGACTGAGTTTGGGGAGGGGTGGTGGGGGTATGGAGCGGCAAGCTGAGATCTAGCTGAGACCTAACTTCTTGGCTAACATCTAGCTAAGATGTGCAGGGTGGGGAGGTCAGCCGTGAGATGACACAGGGTGGGGTGGAAGAGTTCTGAATGGGAGCAGCATATGGGAAGTCAGAGAGAGCATAGTGAATTCTGGGATCTGCTTCCTGCAGTCAAGTTCCTGTAAGTGGAGCCTGGGGTGGGAGGTGAACAGGCTCCCAACGACTAAGGCTGAGGCCACGAGCAGGGCCAGGTTGCACAGCCCGGTTAAGAAATTTGGAATTACCCCAGGCACTAGAGGGAAGCATCGAGGAATCTGCAAGGAGGTCAGACTTGTATGTTAGAATATTAGGCTGGACTGACAGTCAGGAGACAGTTTGGAAGCTGTTGTGGTGTCCAGGAGGGAGGCGACAGGGACCTGACTAGAGTGAGGGCTGTGGGGATGCAGAGGATTCCAGAGCTAGAAGTGGCAGGACTGGGTGATTGGTTTGACTTTAGCTGTGAGGGGAAGGTATGAGGGAGGGGCCCAGGGTAAGTCCAGGTTTCCAGCTTTTCCAACGGGGTGGATGATGGGTGTCATCCCTTGAGCTGGGGACTGGAAAGAAGGTTGACTTGGGAGGAACATAATGGGTCTGGCTTGAATGTGTGGGGCTTTGGGAGCCTGGGGTCATCATGAATGGCAACCAGAGCTGGCTGCTTGCTGGGACAACAGGAAAGAGAAGCCAGCAGCTTGGTAGGGAAGAGCTGTGACATCAAGGGCCGGACTACTGAGAAATCCATCTGGAGGGAGCACAGAGTCTGGAAGGAGGTGACGGAGGCTGTGCTGAGTCCGGCAGGAAAGCCAGGACTCTTCACAAGGAGGGAAATCTCCTGCCTCCCGCCATCTCCCCAGGCCTGGGACGAGAGAGCTACCCCCAGGGGCACTGGAAGAAAGATCTCAGGCAGGGACCAGGAGCACCCCTGGAGGACTTCTGGCCTGGACCTGTGAAGCTCCTCTGCCCCAGCCTTGTGATCTGGATTGGGGGAGATGGGGTTGTGGCCACAGAAAGGCCAAGCAGGCAGGATGATGCTAGGGACGCAGCATGGAGTTGCTGGCAAGACCAGAAGAGCTGGGCTTGGTGGCGCCCTCTGCTGGGCAGCCAGACCAGGGCAGGACTGACGCCGCCTGGGCTTCTCGGCTCCTCAGGCTTCCCTACATGCTTGCGAACGGTGCCTGAGCTGATCCGATATGTGACCATAGTCATCTACACTTGCTCTGCCAAGCACGCAGCTGTCAACACAGGCCAGGTACTGTGCTCATCAGCCCCGGCCCTAGCCCTAGCCCTAGCCCTAGCCCTCCCAGACTTAGTTCCCACCCCAACCCGAAACCCAGCCTCGGCTGAAATCCTTGATCCAGCTCCAACTTGTCTCCACCAGTCTCAGCTGAAACCCAGCCTCAGCCCCAACTCAGACCCTACCCCGGCTTCAGGCCGACCTCAGCTGCATCCCCTCCATCTCAAGGCAGCCACACCCAGCCCAGGAGTCCAAGTCAATGACAGAGGAGCCGGTGGTCAGGGCTAGGTGGAAGGGAACTCCTGGGGTGCTCTCTGACCCACAGCCCCCCTCTCCCTCACCTCCAGCTGGAGTTCACTGCCTGGATGCCCAACTTCCCATCATCCATGCGGAACCCACCGATGCAGGTTAAGGGGCTGACCACTCAGGAGACCTTCATGGACACACTGCCGGATGTGAGGACCACCTGCATCACGCTGTTGGTGCTCTGGACACTAGGCCGGGAGCCTGATGACAAGGTGCGGAGTGGGGTGGGGGGCTCTGAGCACAGTCAGGGGGCTGGGGGTGGGGGCAAGGATAACTGAGGGGTGTCAAGGAGCAAAGAGTGAGAGGCTGCTGAGGGAACGGCCCCTCTGGCAAGAGGGGGAGGGGGCATAGGCCCGGCTTGGTCCCAGCTGTGCCGTTCTGTGCCTGCAGCGGCCCCTGGGTCACTTCCCGGACATCCACTTCGTGGAAGACGCCCCGCGGAGGAGTATGGAGGCCTTCCGCCAGCGCCTGTCCCAGATCTCACACAACATCCGCCAGCGCAACAAGTGCCTCCCCATCCCTTACTACTACCTGGACCCGGTACTGATCGAGAACAGCATTTCCATCTAGGATGGCCTTTCCTGCCTCGCCTCTCCCCGCCCTGCACCCTCCTGTTTTCCAAAAAAAAGTCCACTTCAGACATGTTCTCTGGATCTGTTTACTGTCTGGCACGAGGGGTGGGAGATGGGAGTGCCAGGTGTGGGGTGGGGTGCTGGCCACGCTCACATGGCGATACTGTTCTCCACAACCGCGGGGTCCAGGTAGGTGTAGGGCAGCGCCAGACCCCGGTTCCGCTCCCGGATGTCCCTTGAGAAACGGGCCAGGCGGCTCTGGAAGGCCGCAATGCTCCACTGCGGGGCCTCTTCGGTGAAGTGCTCATCTGGGTAGGTGCCCAGGCGCCGCTGGGGACAGTAGATGATAAGGCTGGGGCCTCTACAGTATCTTTTACCACACGGTGATTCTGGTCCGTCTTAAGTCCCCTTATCACCTGACCCTGCTCACCTAGGGGATCCAGACCACCCTTGACCTGTCCAGTCTGAAACATAAGCCTCCCACCCATCTTGGCAAAAGACCACCCATCTACAAGAAACCTAAACCACCCAATTTCATGCTCACTGGGAAACCCTATAGGTGAAGACCAGTCCGAATTTCACCTATAGGAATCCATACCACCCTAAAGCACACCCACCAGCAACCTAGTCACTCCGAGCCCTGCCACCTAGGAGTGGACCTGCGAAGTGCTCCCTCCAAGTACCTCCTTGTTCCCAGAATCCTTCCCTCACCTTGCCCACTCTCCTAGAACCTGAGATCCCACCCGTCCCCACCCTGGCCCTGGCTTACAGTGTCCTTGGTTTCATCGCTGATGCCCCAGAAGAGCACGAGGGCGTGGCACGTGGCATTGACCTCAGGGAGTGAAGCCACCAGGTCTGTCTGGCCCTTGGCAGTGGGTGGGGGGAGCCGCATGGTGGTAGGAATGTTGGGCATCCAGGCACTGAATTCAAACTGACCCCCCCAAACTCAGTAAGTACAGAGCCACAAGTGCTCTTGCTAGGTCTGCTCTGCCTGTGATCCTGCTTGTCCCCTCAAGTCTGGCACTGGCTCACCTGGCCACTGTTGACGGCAGCATGTTGAGCAGAGCAGGTGAAGATGATCATGGTGAGATACTGGATGAGACCAGCACAGCTGTCCAGGGTGGAGGGGACCCCTAGATGGGAATGGGGTGAAGAGAAAGAGCTGAAACCTAAGGGGCTGCTGCTCTGGGGGAGAGGGATCTGGAAGGCAGGAGACAGGAATGGACACCTCACCTGAGCTTGTGCGACTTAGAAAGCCCTCCTGGAAGACCTCCTTGACCCAGGCCTGGAGTTCCGAGTCCCTGCTCACTGCTCCGTCATCCGCGTAGTAGATGTCAACAATATCAGTCACAAAGCTGGGGATCCAGAAATACATGGTGACTAGTGGTTGGGAGCCAATGCTGCCCAGGGAAGTAGGTTGGAAGAAGCGACTGAGACCAGCTGACCCATAAGGGAGGAAAACTGAAGCCAAGAAAGGAAAGGGCCAACTATACAGAGTGGGAACTGCAAAGCTGAGTTCCAAACCTGAAGGCTGCGATCTTCACCAGGGGATGCAAACCCGGGACTTGAAGGCTTCGTTGGTCTGCAGAAGTGTTCTGATTGGCTGGCAAGATTTATTGCTTGCTTTTTCTTTTCTTTATTTTATTTTTTTGAGTTGGAGTTGGAATCTCACTCTATCACCCAGGCTGGAGTGCAGTGGCATGATCATGGCTCACTGCAGCCTCGAACTCCTGGCCCAGGAGATCCTTCTGCCTTAGCCTCTTGAGTAGCTGGGACTACAGGCATGCACCACCATGCAAGGCTAATTTAAAACATTTTTTAAAACAAATACAGATGGTGAAAAACTCCCTTATTGCTTGCCCCCTTGCAGCATACTGACTAAACCTGTTTTTCTACTCTAAAAAACAAAATACAGATGAGGTCTGCTATGTTGCCCATGGTCTCGAACCCCTAGGCTCAAATGATCCTCCCACTTCAACCTCCCAAAGTGCTGGGATTACAGGTGTGAGCCACTGTGACCAGCACGTTTGCTTTTCAACTTGAGTCACCTGCCAACATTTAAATATTAGATTTAAATATTTGGTTTCTGTTGATAAATCTGAAATCTGGCCACAGTGATAACTGGGTCACCATTGTCCCCATCAGACAAACATGAACTCTCCACTGGCCACAGTCCCTGCTCACCCCTCTTCCCTAGTTTTTTTCTGCTTGCTGGTCCTGCAGGCATTTGAATTCCAGTCTTTTGAGATACATCAAGCCACAGGGAAGGATTAGACACCAGGACCCTCTGTGTTGGGACTGTCTGATTGGGTCTATTTCCCCATGTTCCCACACGGCCATCCATCTCCAGTCATGGAGGGCTCATGAAGGGTGTGTGGGTTCACTGCTGAGAAGGCAGTTCCTGCTATCGTGTTCAAACAAGGAGCATCCCTGAGGACTTCAAGGGGGAGGTGAGACATGAGCTGGGCTCGAGGCAGGGGTAGTGTTTGAACTGGGAGAGAGGAAGAAATTAGACTGTATGGTTTCTTTAGGCCCAGGGTGTGCTGAGACAGAAGAACGGAAGTGGGGCAGATTTCAGAGGGACTGAGGCACTGCAGCAAATGCAGCTTTGCATGTGTCAAGAAACTGGGAGCCATGTGAGGGTCATGAGCAGTAGCAGTGTCATGAATCTCAGTCCCTGAGGGAGGTGGCTATGCAGGTTAGTGGCAGGATGTGGGAACCCACAGAAGGCCAGACATCAAGAAGGTATGTCTCAAGGAGATTTTCTGTGAGGAAGATATAAAAGGAAAAGCCTGGAGTCAGTGACTTTGTATATGAAACACATCATACTAACACTAGGAATGAATAATAACATTACTAGATAATGCTTAGAGAGCACTTTCTGTTGCTGAGGTTTGTTCTTTAAGGTTTTCTATTTAATCATAATAACCCATGAGGCAGGTGCTCTTATTATCCCCGCGGTCAGATGAAGAAACCGGCCCAGAGAGGTTCGAATGACTCGTCCAAGGTCACACAGCTGGGAAGGAAGAAGAGCAGGCAGGAAGGGCTTTGAGAGAGAATGTGGTTGGGGGAAGTTGGTGAACAAACTGACAGAGATGTAGCCCAGGGTGGGAGGTCTGGAGCCCTCGGGCCCAGGGGAGTGTCACCTCTCTATGGCCGCCCAGATCGGGAGTGCATCATCTCGGTAGTAGTAGTGGGTGAGGTCCTGGACCTCGCGGTCAGCCAGCTGGTGGGGCAGGCAGAGGGAGCGGTAGGTGACAGCTGCCAGCCCCCTGGCAATCAGCTCCAGGCAGCCCTCACGTCCCAACGATGTTGACTGAGGTGAGCAGAGAGCCGACTGCTGCCAGGAGCACAGGGCTCTGGACTGAACCTCAGCCCCCTCCTGGTGCCCTCTGCCAACCCCCAGGATCCCAGGCCTCCCAAGGCTCTGACCTGGTCAATGAGCTTTCCTGGTGCAAAAAGTCCAGTGCGGGCCTGTATGTTGATGTGGAAGGTGTAGCGGAAATGAGGAATGAGCAACTGGGGAGAGCCAGGGTTAGAGGTTAGATGAGGCAGTTCCAGACTTCCCACAGCTCCGGGGCACTGGGAGAAAGGGTCCTCCCTACCTTGAAAATGGGGTGGCACATGGGCAGCTGCCGCAGCATGGACAGAGCAAAGGACTCTGCCACAAAGTGGGTTCTAAGCAAATGAGTGACCATCTCGTGCACCAGGAACTCGGAGTGCCGCACCCAGGTCTTGGCCAGGAGCCAGTCCTCAGCAGGGTCACTGGGCAGGAAGATGGGGCTGTCTGGGCCAGGTGTCTGAGTGAGCTGGAGAGGGGGGCACAGTGGAGGGCAGGCATGAGGCAGAAACCGGGGAAGTGTAGCCCATCACTACATCCATGGGGCCCAACCACAAAGTCAACTTCCTTACTAGCTGTGTGACCTTGGGAGCGTTAATTAACCTCTCTGTGACTCAGGTTCCTCAGTAAAATGGGGTTGATGATAATCATCTCTCTGAGAGGTGAAGGGAACCAAGGCCACCTTGTTGGCATAGGTGACAAACTCCCTTGTGCCAGCCTAGTCATCCAGACCCACCCTTGTGTGGTGCAGAGCCTGGAACAATGAACAAGGAGAGTGTGAAGACATTATGTCTTCACAGACAGGATTATATCTTTAACTGTTGGAAACATGATCAAACTGTCAAAGGTGCGTAATCCAGGAGAGTTGATTTTGACACCCACTTCAAGGTGCAATATGGTCTCTGACACTGAGTATGATGACCTTTCTATCAGGATGGAAATCAAAGAGGAAAAAATAGAAAAACTAGGAAAAGCAACAATCCCAGGAGGTGCTGGGTAGGATTAGAGGGGAAGTGATGTTGCACACTAGGCACAGCAGCAGTGTGAGGAAGCAACTTTTCAGTTAACCTGAGGATTTGCCATGCCCACCCTCGCCCCCCACTCCATCCCCAGGGCTCTGCCCTCCTGACCTGGATGGCAAGGGGTAGCAGGGGGCCACCGCCAGGGCGCTGGTGCAGCAAGGTCAGGGGTGCCGCCACGAACTGGGGCCTCCCATTAATGATACTGGGGTGAAGGCCTGAGAGGATGGCATGGTCCACCAGGTACAGAGATCCCCCCTACAGGAGGAGAGGAGGAGGAGAGCTGAGAGAGTGGACCACCCTGTGTGGTTCTGGGAAGCTTGAGGAAAGAGGGATAGTTACTATGACCCAAATGTAGTTCATTTAAAGGAACTTCATTCGCCGGGTTCGGCGGCTCAGCCTGTAATCCTGCGCCTTTGGGAGGCTGAGGTGAGTGGATTGCCTGAGCCCGCGGGTTCGAGACCCGCCTGGGCAGCGAGACCTCATCTCTACAATAAATCAAAAAATCAGTCGGGCATGGTGGCGCATGCCTGTAATTCCGGCTACTCGGAAGGCTGAGGTGGAAGGATTGCCGGAGCCCAGCAGGCCGAGGCTGCGGTGGCCGGGAGCGGCCACTGCACTCCAGTCTGGGCAACAGAGTGCGACTCCAACTCAAAAAAAAAAAAAGGAACTTCATTCCCTGGATCCAGTGGGGCATTCCAGCTCAGAG